ATGATGTTGGACATAGTCCCCAATTCGATCAGCCACCTCAGGAGCCAGGCCTTTCTTTGCCACCATTTCATGTCTCACATCTCTCCAAGATATCTGCATAAACACCCAAACATTACGTCAGCCAAGTCCTTTGTTCTCTTGCTGGAAAGAGATATTTCATTTCTTTTAGTATGAGCATCCTAGATTAATAATAGTATACTCAAAAAATCAGAGGCAACTAAGAAATCCAGTCACAATCCCCACCATACAACTCAGATCTTGCATCAGAATGTCTCCTTACCTCCCTCCCATATTCAGCTTACTTCATGCACTATCTCTTTATTTTTCTCTAATGGTATAAATTTCTGAACAGGACAAAAACCTAAATAAACTCTTTATTACCTTGTCTAATTTGTCCATCGAAGCACAGATAGTACGGAACTTGCTTTCAGGAACACCACAGACAGCAAAGATCCCATCCACAATCCGCCGATCATTGACCTGTAAACTCAATGAAACCCAAGGGTCCTGTCAAGGTCCTTTCCCTGAAAACAATGGCGGTTCCTAACTTTCTGACTTGTACAAGGAACAAAAAGGAAATCTCATGGGAAGAGCACTCATACACACAAACACACACAGCCAAATCCAGACTTCTCATTAGTCTTTTTTTTTAATTTTATTTGTGTGTGTGTGTGTGTTTCTGTGGCCAGCTCAGCCCACCAGGGGGCAGCGCTGGCTGGCATGTGGTGCTGGGGGATTGAACCGTGGTCCTGTGCTTTGCTAAGCTTGTTCTAAGTAGGTGCTTTAGACCACTGAGCCATCTCACCAGCCCCTTCTCATTAGTCTTGACCTTACCTTAATGAGAAAGTCTCCCAGTTGCAACCCACTTAGGATTTCACACATGATCTTCAAACATTCTGCATCAGGGATCATAGGGTCAAACTGACCAGCAATATCAAAATCCTACAGCAAAAAAAGACCAGAAAAAACCTCCACTGATCCACCAATTCCCTGGGGTTAACTATCAAATTACGCTGTCTACATCAGGTCACTTACACACTGGTAGAACTCCCGATAGCGGCCTTGGACTATAGTTGGACTTTCCCTTCGCCACACCTTTCCAACTTGGTATCGTTTCATCTTCTTCAGTTTATTCATGGCCAGATAACGAGCAAAAGGAACCTCACGTAACTAGGTTAAGGAAAATACAGCAGTCAATGCTTAGTTCCAGTATACACACGTTAAAGGGGACTGGACCTCTATTTGATGTTATCCAATAGGATGAGAATGAGGACCTTCCCCATCATGTTTCCCACTATCCCCAAGACTTCACAGTATCTGGCATTCAATACATACTAAATAGTGTCAAATGAAGGAATCTCTCCTAGCAAAACTGGAAGTTGAGCATAAAGCAAGAAAAGAGAAATGACCCAAGGTCTTAGCCAATTCCTCCATTCAGACCAAGATTCAGCTATCTCTAAATACCGTGATCAGGCTTTATAGCCTGGATTTGTCTCCAATACCAAACCTTTGTTTCGGAAAGTGTATGCCAAAGACCAAATGCACTTTAATTACTGAGGATGCCTAATTAAAAATGCAAGATTTCGAATCTTATTCCAATTACAGAATTAAAAATCCCTGGAGAGCAGAGTATGGTTTTGTTTTTGTTTTTGTTTTTTTTGTTTTTTGTGGTACCGGGGATTGAACTCAGGACCCTGTGTTTGCCAGGTAAGCACTTATTCTACTGAGCTATCTCCCTGGCCCCCCAATTTTTTTTTTTTTTTTTTTTTTTTTGCGGAACTGGGGATTGAACTCAGGCCCTTGTGCTTGCCAGGCAAGCACTTATTCTGAGCTATCTCCCCAGCCCCTGAGGGCAGAGTATGTTTCAGGAGACTTTCCCAAGGGATTCTGATAGACACAGAAGTTAAATGAGAGGTCTCCAGGTTAGGCTCTGCTGGCAGAATTGACTTCCAACAGAAACCAGAAGTAAAGGCTACTGCCAATGGAGCCATAATGTCCCGTAGTCATGAGCCTCCCTTTTGTCAGAGAAAGTCCTCTGGATTTAGAAAGAAACAAGTCAGGCTCCAGCACTTAGAAGGATACAGTAAGGTCATAACGAAGGGACAACAGCTCTCCACCTTGATCCTCCAGATCGTAAATGAGTCCATATTGCTCATTATACTTCTCAGTGAGTATTTCCTGCAGGGAAAAATTGGAAAGAACCATAGTTCAAAGGATAAGTCCAGAACACAGAGGAGAAGGTCTCTGGGACACGGAAGGCATGATGAAAAAAAGAGATTCCAGACATTCTTTTCCCCTTACCTTAAGCTCAAATGCTGGTGTATCCAATCCCTTTGCTCCATGACGTTTAAAGCAACTGATAACTATATCAAGAATTTTCTCCCTTACAACCATCTGCTGGGGACTAAGATCCCTAGTGCCCTGAAAACCAAAAGTGGTCATGTACAAACAGAACACCAGTACATTTAAAACAAAGAGTTATGGCACACATCTGTAATCCCAGCATTCAAGAGGCTGAGGCAGGAGGATCGCTGTGAGTTTGAGGCCAGCCTGACGGACAAAGTGAGCTCAAGGCCAGCCTGACCTGCATAGGGAAACCCTGTCTTGAGAGAAAGGGGGGGGGGGGGAGAATATTATATCTATAATGTAAAGTGTACATTGAATTTTTGTTTCTCCTTTCTTTTTTTGTAGAGTACAAGAACTTATACATACTAGACAAGCACTCTACCAATAATCTACATCCTTACCCCTTTTTATTTTTGAGACAGAATCTTGCTACATTGTCCCAGGCTGGCCTTGAACTTATGACCTTCCTGCCTCAGCTTCCAAGGAGTTGGGATTATGTTGGCCTGAAATTTCTTTACTTTAGATAACTCCGAGCCTCACCTACTATGTCAAGAATAGAAAAGGTTTGTCTTTTTGCTTTTGTTTGAAACTTTACTCAAAAAAGTTACTATAAGAAGTTACAAAAGGACTGAGGCTATAGCTCAGTAGCACAGTGCCTTCATGGCAAGAGCAAGGTCCTGCATTCGATTCCTGATACCAAAGTGGGGGGAGTTACAGCGATAAACACAGAAGAGGTCGGTTCCCCATGATATTCTTATGGGATCAGATGGGTAAAGGACATTACCTTTGGGGTCTTGATGATGAAATTTGGTTTCTCTTGATGTGTCTTCAGATGGGATATTAACTTTGCCCCTGCAACCTAGAAAAGAAGAAATATAAAATATGGCTTTTCTGGACACTGGGCAGACCTATCACATCTCTGAATCTATAGACCACCAGCCTGCAAGGATCTGTAACTCTGCACAATATGAAACCAGAGCATTTTATCTATACTGAACTCAGAACCCATACTGTATCTACAATCTTAAGAATCCATATTTTTATCTATATTCTTACAAGTAATATACATGAAGTCAGGTCTCTATCAGGCTTCACTGTATTTGAAGTCTTTAAATGTAAGAAAAAGCTTAAGCACATGGGGAACATAAAGGCACAAAACAAAATATCACTAACACTATGTCAAGAATAGAAAGGGGAAAAAAAAAAAAAGAATAGAAAGAGCTTTTCTTTTTGCTTCTGTTTGAAACTAAACTTAAAAAGCTATTATAAGAAGTTACAGAAGGGCTGAGGCTGAAAACCAAAAGTGGTCATGTACAAACAAAACACAAGTACAGGGGCCGGGGAGATAGTTCAGTGGAATAAGCACTTTCCTGGCAAGCGCAAAGACCTGAGTTCAATCCCCGGTTCTGCAAAAAAAAAAAAAAAAAAAAAAACCACACACACAAAAAAAAACAAGTACAGGAATTAGTAAGAATGCTTCCAATTCTCAGTTCCTACTCAAACAGCAAAAATAAGAATTCTTAGTAAGACAGATCTATTTAGCAGGCTTGGAGATACAGTAAATGCAACTTGAATAAACAGAACCAGCTCAAAAACACAAAACAAGTTTGTTAAATGAAAGGAATGCACTTCCTAAATTAACTCAGTAACTTACAGGATGCTGTGACTGAAAATTAAGCAAAGATCTTAGCTCTGTTGTTCATGACAGCACCAAGAATCTGCTAAGAGGACTTTTGGGACTTTCTGAAATAAGGCAAAACAGAATCACTGAGTTAAATACTACCAGCAGGCTGTATGCCCTTCCAGCACCTGGGGTATGCTAGGTCCTTATTGCAATTCTCTCCCCCAAAGAGAAATCCAGTTCAGTACACAACACAACCCCACCCTCACCGTATATAATTCTTAACCCAAAACTTCTCTGAAAACTGATGATGTTTTTCTCAACGTCAGTTTAATACGAACTCAATCTACTTATTGTCTCTGGCCATCTCATTCACTGGGAATATCCATATATTTGTTTACGAAACACTAAAGTGGCGACTCTAAAGAACTTCGGTTCATGAAATGAAAAACTACATTTAAATAGTCTCTTGCTACGATGTGCAGGTGAGTCATTTAATCTTGCAGCCTGTTTTTTCAAATCGAAATGGAAAACCCCAATCTCTCAAGATAGCTCTAAGTATTCAATAACAAAGCATCCAAAATCCTTGGTTCAATGCCGGTACACAGTGGGTGCTCAGTAAGAAGCAACTGCCATAACTGTCCGTATCTTCAGACCCAGGAGTCGCTCCCTAACAGACCTGAGTTAGCGCAGATGGGCTCACCTGGCTGTGGCAACCTACCGCCCGGATGCACGCAGCGCTGGGCGGTCGCAGGAGCTGGCTCAGCAGCGCGGCGCAGGCCCTCCCGGGCAGCAGGCTGAGCTGGTGCATACTGCGGCACGGCACGGTTTTCACAAACAACAGCCGAGTACTGGGAATGAAGCAGAATCATACCCTGGAGGAGGGTATGGTGCTGGAGCTATGCTTCCCAAGTACTACGGAATTGAGAACCAACCCCACGCTCTACACGCCGATTTGCCCAAGATCCCGACCCGGAAGTGGTTTGAGCACCCTGCGCAGGCCCTCTAGGCCTGTGGGCCCGCGACTCGATAGCCGGAAGTCATCCTGATTGAGGCTGAGTCTTCACAGGCCGGTGCAGACAGCCAGCATTCAGCTCCAGTTGGCCATCGGTATGGCAAATCGTGCTGCGCTGGAGGAGCTGGTACGACTTCAAGGAGAGCGTGTGCGGGGCCTCAAGCAACAGAAGGCCGACGCCGAGCAGGTACGACCCAGGCAGCAGGGGAGATGCAAGTAAAGCCAACGAGGACTTGAAGCCAGGTCTGGACAGACGACAGGGATGTGAAGGAAAGGACTGGGCTGGCAGGGGGAAGGATGTGCGGGTCGTGAGATAGCCACAGTAGATTCCGAGAGAAGCAAGGCTAGGCCAAGGCGGGCAGACCCACCTCGGTTTCTGATAAGGGAGGAATATGGAATGAATGGCTGGGGGAGGGGAGGGAATGATGAGTGGATAGTCCAGCGGCTTTGTTCCCTCCACAGATCGAAGACGAAGTGGCAAAACTCCTGAAACTGAAGGCACAGCTGGGACCTGATGAAAGCAAACAGAAGTTTGTGCTCAAAACCCCCAAGGTACTCTAATGTCATTCCTATAAGGGAGCCTCAGAAAAAGCAAGGGTATCTATATTGGCTTCCCTGAACCGGGTCACTCAGGAGGGTCTGAAATAGTGTAGAGAAACAATAGTTGCTCTGGGCACTTGGGTGGTTTGAACTGTGAGTCATTCTGGGATGGCAAAGTGATGACAGAAATGAAGCCAGCTGGATGCTGGAGGAGTTGACCTGCTGCTGTTACTCCTTTTATCAGTAAATATTCACTGAGTGCTTACTGTGTCCCTAGCATGGTATAAAGCACATGGTATATATCATGGTGGACAATATATCCTGCCCTCATAAGCCTATGTTCTACTTTTAGGGACAAACTTAGGACCACTACTCTGACACATGGATATGTAATTACAAATTGTGATTAGAAAGAAATTCACAAGTGTTCTGAGAAAAAAAAAAAGAGCTAAAGAGTCAGACAAAACCTCACCTGAGGGAGTGCCATATCAGTGGACCTAAGAATAGAGGAGGAGATAGCTAAGGAAAAAGAACAGGAAGATTGGTCCAGGAGTTTGGAAACCTGGAAACAGTAAAGCGATTTGGTAGTATCCAGGAGCTAGAAGACCACCTACACAACTAGAACCAAATAGAGAAGGGAAGTAGACTGCAATGAAGTTGGTGATTCCTAGAATTTCAGTTCAAATACGTTTCTATAAGTTCTGTAAACAGAACTATTTACCTCTTTATCTGGGTTCTCTTGACATTTTATGTATATCTCTTCTGTTGTGCTAATTTCTCATAGGTATTTGTGTAGTTTACTTGCCAGGGAGGCTGAGACCAAGTGCCTTTAAATAAATAGGTATTTCATGAATGTATTTGAAATTGAATTCCTTGTGTGAAGATTAATTCTTTGGGTTCCTAAATTAATTGACGTGTTCCTTTTTACACAGAGCACTTTTTCAAAGATTAAACTTGAAACAGTGTAAAATCCCAAAGCAGTAATGAGATCTATATTCAAACTAGTGAATAAAGTAAACACTTAAAATGGAATTTATGATGTATCAGTCCATCCTCACTTAAATCCAGTAATTGGTAATTTGTATAAAATGTATCTGCCTAGACTATCTCTTAGTGCTGGTTGTTGGAAATAAATTAGAGAACAAATAGTAGTATAATTAGAATTTAAAAGAAAACAATGTTGGAGGGAAAAAAAAGTTGCTCATAAAGTTTACACTTCAACTTTATTATCTATGGCATTAAAAGCAGGACAACCAGAAATTACCTTCCTACTGATGTGGTGCAATAAGAAATAAACAGCACCACCTATAACCATGCTTGCCAAGAAAATTTGAATTTGAATGTAATCAGGCCTTCAGATTATCTGTTCTACAGGAAATACTGGAGACAGAAAAATACTGGTGACACATCAAGGATATTTCTAACCAAATCTAAAAGACACATTGAGGACATTATTAACCAGATCTAAAATATGAAAAAAAAAATTAGGATAAATGACCAATTTCCTCAACAGATAAATGATGTGAAAAGCCAGGAAACACTAGTGGTATAGCTGAGTGGTAGAGCATATGCATAGCATGTGTGTGATCCTGGGTTTAATTCCCAGCACCACCAAAAAGAAATGAAAGTTGTAGATTAAATGGATTGGTATAAATGGATAAGTAGATACAATCCATAGACTTTGCTTAGAATCTAAATCAAATAAGCCACCACAAAAAGATGTTACTGAGGCAGTCAGGAAAAATTGAACCTGGCTTGGTATGAGATAGTATTAAGCGTTGATATTAGTTTTGTTGGTTATAATAATGATACTGTAGTGTTTTAGATTTTTTTTTCTTTGTTTCTTTTTTTTTTGGCGGAACCGGGGTTTGAACTCAGGCCCATGTGCTTGCCAGGGAAGCACTTATTCTACTGAGTCATCTCCCTGGCCCCTAGATTTTCTTAAAGTCCTTTTGTAGTTGTGAATCATACTTGAGTATTGGTGGGTGAAAATGATGTTTGTTAAAATACTTTAGAAAAAAGTGTCAGTTTAAATGAACTATAAGGGCTGGGTGGAATATAAGCTTAGGGGCTGGGGAGATAGCTCAGTAGAATAAGTGCTTGCCTGGCAAACATAAGGGCCTGCATTCAATCCCTGGTTCCACCAAAAAAATAAAAAATAAAAAATAAAAAAAATAAGCTCATTGGTAGAGTTCTTGCCTTGCATGCCCAAGGCTCTGAGTTCAATCCCCAGTATCACCAAAAATGGACGAATGAATGAATGAATAAAATAGAAATAGGGCTGGGGAGATAGCTCAGTAGAATAAGCACTTGTCTGGCAAGTGCAAGGCCCTGAGTTCAATCCCCAGTCCTACAAAAAAATAAAATAAAATAAAATAGAAATAAAAGATGTTATTGATTGCTAAAGCTAGGTAATGGGGCTATGGGTATAACTCAGTGACAGGGTGCTTGCTTATCTAACATGGACCTGAATTCAGTCTCTAGTACCACACACACACACACAAACTTTTTACAGAAATATATCTGTTTCGGGCTGGAGAGATGGCTCAGTGGTCTAAAGCACCTACTTAGAACAAGCTTAGCAAAAGCATCAGGGACCGCGGTTCAATCCCACAGCACCACATGCCAG